CCCAGAAAACAGAGCATCACATGGCAGAGGTTAGGCATCAAACACGCTGCCGCCTGACCAGGTATTAGTTCCACTGCCAACATTGTGTCCACCAGAAATCCCCGTTGTAACTCCACCCTTTTGTCTTCACTCAGGAAAGCTCATCAGAAAGTGAACAATGGTGACAATAAGACAGGGATGACATGGAATCTGTTCTAATATATAGAAAAGGAAATCATTTCTAAAATTCGTTATTGTTATTGCTATGGTCTCAATATTTCTGTGCACTCCTCCCATTCTAACTCTCAAGGTGATGGTACTAAGAGGTGGGGCCTTTGAGGGTCATGAGGATGGAACCCTCATGAATGTGATTAGTGTCCTTAGACAGGAGGCCCTAGACAGCATCCTGACCCTTCTACCACATGAGCACATAGCAAAATGGTGCCCTCTATAAGGAAGTAGGCTCTCTCGCAAGACACTGATTCTGGTGGGGCCATCATCTTGGACTTCCCAGCCTTCAGAACTGTGAGAAATAAATGCTTGTTGTTCATAAGCCACTTAGTTATGGTATTTTGTTAAGGCAGGTCTGTTATAATTAGCAAGATCTTATTAGCATCAAGGATTCTGGGCCAGACTACCTGGGTTTGAATCTCTGTTCTGCCCTCAGTATCTGTGTGACTTAATGATTTGGCCCTCAGTTTTCTCATCTGTGAAATGGTGAGAATAATAGCATATATACTTCACTGAATTGTTGTAATGCACTTAGAATGGTGCACATAACAGTGCCAGATTAGTGATGGCTAAACCGAATGAACAAGCAAAATTCACATGGGATTGTGGCAACAAGATGCTACATCATCCTGAAAAGATGATGCAGACCACTGTCCTCTATCCTGAGAAAAAGATTTCTCTTTAGGATCTGAAATATTGATGATTTTTTATAGCATAAAATTATAATAATTTTATGGAACAAAACTAAATGGGACAATAAGCGAGTTCAAAGAGTTTCCCTGGAAAGACACAGTATTTGGGGTTGGAAGGTCTGTTCTGAGTCTACAGCAAGTCAGGGACCCTTGCAGAGCCTGTTTCCTTATCTGCAACATAATCATGACTTCACTTTTGCCTCCGTGTCCACTGGTCTGATTTGAGGACCCAGTAACATAGTGATAAGAAACCATTCCCGATTTGCTACTGCTTCCACTGTCACTGACAACAATGAATTTACATATGACATTTTCTACCTTCTCACAGATTCCCTTGACATAGTACCAATACCTCAGTCTCTGAAAACAGGAACAGCTTTCAATAATGACTTATTCCTTGCAACATGCTAATAATAAAACGAAATTTACTCATATAAGGATTGGGATCAAGAATCCTTTGAAACTCAAGACAAGGTGTAAATTGCTGAAAAGGGTCTCTTTAATTGGGATCAAAACATTTTTGACAGCTTTTGGATTTTAAAATTCTAGCTATTGTCACGTTCTGCAAATGTTTCTTTTCTTGGTTTAAAAAAAGTGCAGTCAAGCTTGAGCAGAAATACTTCAGACGTGATAAACAACTAAAATTGGACATTCCAAATGACAAAGACCCAGTTTTCCTTTTCTTTGATATTTAGGAAAGAATACTTCACTTAGACTCTTACCCTGCACAATTCAATCGGTCCCCTGCTGGGCAATGACAAAGGTTTAAGAAATCTTTCCTGCTTGTAATCTCCAATGAAGTTTTTGTAAAACCTCTATTTATCTGAAGATAAGTCATACTGAAAGGAATTTATTTTAAGGGAAACAAAGAATCTTAAAAATAGTGTCATCACCTTAGATGGGACTTAGCTCAACACTTCATTTCTATTCAACTCCCACAATTTCCCTTCTTATGGTTCTTGCTTGAATATTCCCAGCCACCGTGAACTCACTTGCACAGAAGGCACTACACCTAACTGCTCAATAGCTCTGAGTGGTAGAAAATTCTTCTTACGCATAAACTGAAACTGCTTCCTAGAAACTCCTATCACCGGGTCTGATTCTATTCATGAGTCACACAGAACAAATCACTACCTTCTACCACACAACTCTTTGGAGAGATGAACACTATTAACACGGGGTGCCCTGCTCCCTGTCGTCTCCACTTTAGGCTTACACACGTTCAGTCTTCTCCACCAGCTTCCCCAGACTTGTGCTCAGGCACATTAACAAGGTGAGGATGCAAAAGCAGGTGCTACAGAGGCCCAACATTAATCAAACAGAACCAGAGTGGACTAAGCCAGACAGACAACATTGAACTCTGCCTTCCATCAGATTCTCCACGAGGGATCTGACATATTTTCCATAAGGCCAGATGGCTTTGGACTGAAATAATGCTTTTACTGTTAGTCTCTCTTTGTGTATAGCTAGAAAATAAAAACTAATATTATAAGATTTGGTGATATCTTTCTTTGGGGGCAACTTAGCTACCCTTCAGTGAGTTTTAGATAAATGTAAAGAATAAAACTACCTCACTTCATTAGTTAAACTGGGTGATTAGGACTTTAATTAGCTGGGCACAGCCTCCTTGGTGGTGGGGTACATGATAGAATAGCAAGGCCTCAAAATATTCCCCCAAACGAGATAAAGCATCTGATATTCTGCCTCACTCCTGTCCCTTTCGTTAGGCGAGTTGTCATGGTGATAGGTAGGGAGACTAAAGATGATGACCTAAGATCGCAGCATAGGAATCACTGTGAAACCCTCTCAGGCTTGATCTGTATTACCTTACTCCCTCCCACAAAGGATCTAAGGACTCCATATCCTCCACGTTTCTCCAAGCCCAAAGCTCTCTGCCTCCTCTGTGTACCCAGGATCCTATGAGACCATGTGTGTGTTAAGAAATTTTGGCTCAGCATAGTTTCCCATCCCCCAACTGCCCTGGTCTCCTTTACCAGGATATACTTTGATTTGCTTTATCCTTTTTAAAATGTGTGGTTCAAAGCTAAGCATAGGTGTCCCATCTATAGTCTTTCCAGGAAAAGGAAAACCAGACTTTTCAGAAGATAGGAGAGGCTTACATTAGGCTCCTAATCTTGCAGCATTCAAACTCCTTCACTACTGATGCTAATATCTTCATTCTCAGCTCTCTTCTACTGAGGCAGCCCAGGTAGACAGCCCCACCTTTCTCTCTCTCTGGAAGTCAATTGTGTTGAGTTCTGATTCATGTCAGCTGAAGGCTAAATCCCAGTTCTGCCTCCTCCATGCTGGTGAACTTAGGAAAGCCACTTACACTGAGAGAGAATATGCAATGCTATTAAGTGAAAAGGCTCATGAGCTAGACTGCCCGGGTTCAAATCCTATCTCCACAGCCACTTGCTTTCAGCTAGATAATAAACTTTTCTCTCTTTGATACCTTCAACTACGAAAAGGAGGTAACAATACGACCTACATCATAGGGTTATCATGAGGATTAAATGGGTGGGTACTTACAAAGGACTGACAACAACGTGTGGCACATATTATGTGCTTGATGAAGGACCTATTGTTATGATTATCTCAAAAGGCTTGGTGAGGAGAAAACTGAATAATGTGTGTAAAGTTTCTAATATGGACCTAGTATATAGCATGTTCTCAATAAACTGAACTTATTATCATCAGTTATTTTTATTGTGGTAAATATACATAACATAAAATTTGCCACTTTAACCATTTTTAAGAGGCATAAAGCACATTCTCCTTGTGGTGTGACCATTGCAGCCTTCAATCAGCACTGTTGTCTTCTTCCCGAACTTAAACTCTGTCCCCAGTTAACACTAACTCTTCACTGCCCAGCCCGGGGCCCTGGCAACCACCATTCTACTTTCTGTCTCTGAACTGGATTCCTCTGGACACCTCAGGTAAGTAGACTCCCTCAGAATTTATCTTCTTATGACTCGCTCATTTCACTTTGAAAAATGTCCTCAAGGTTCATCTATGTTGTAGCATATGCAGAACTTCCCTCCTTTTGTTGCTGAACATCATATCATTGTCTGCATATACACATTTGGATTTTCTGTTCATCCATGGGAGGACCCTGGGGTGCTTCTACCATTTAGCTATTGTGAATAAAGCTGCTACGAACATGGGTGTGCCCTTATCTGTCCTATGACTAGTTTTTCAGGAGTAACTTTGCTTCAGGAAGACCCATTTTCACTGTTAAATCATCACCCTACTACTGACATTTTATCCTAGTATGAGTCAGAACAAAGGGGAGAAAAAAATAATGCAAAATGACAAAGGTTAATTAACTTGGCAAGTAGAGTATTGTTTATACAGTGCCTGATAAATTACCTTGTAAAGTTCAGTGGAGGCGAATACATGAGTAAAAGGACAAATATGTCCATTTGACGCTCGCCCTCTCAACGGAACAGGTCACAGACTATTTTTCTGTTTTTCCCTTACCATCAATACACAGGACCCATAATGTCAGACAAGCCCTGAGGATGAACCTGGGAGCTAATTGCCTCTGGGAGGTTGATGAAAACACAAAACCATGTCTTTGGTTCGTTCAACAAACATATTAGTGCTTACATTTCCTGGGCATGCAGTGATAGATTTTTTTAAAAAAAGATGGAAAACTCCATTTATTCTTTTTGATTGCAGCAACTACAAGGTTCCACAGGTTAAACTCAAGAGAGTCTGGATGCTTTGACCGAGTCAAAAGAGCCCCATGTGTCTCCCTCTAGGATGCATGTCGTTAAAGCTGCCAACACACAAAGAAATTCAACTTAAACCGTCACACTGCCCACCGCTCCTCAAAGCTCATCAATCTCCCATTAGATTCCTGGGACCGGGTGACACTTTTATCACAATTACACGGTAAGAAACATGGTGCAGCGCACTGTGGCCAAGTCCGGGAAGAGCCCCCTTTGATGGACGATCACAGTTGATCAAGTTTGTCAGCTGCTTTATGTGTTTTTATGCTCATTTGATATTCCTGCCCAGCGCCGACAGGCTTTTAAGGGCACATCTGTCAATGGATTCAATTGCACAATGCCATGTGTTTCTTTTACTTACCCCTGTCTTCTCATCAAAGATTTTGATTCCTCCAAAGGAGATGGTTAAAAAGATTTTCTGTTTGTGTTCTCCTTTGGAACGAGCGCCAGCCACAACGCCCTGTTGAAAGGAAAGACATGGTTTTTACTTTAGTGTTTTCATTTGAAAATATCCTCCGGTCCCAAAGGCATGTCAGATACCATCGGTGGTGCCACCAATCAGGCTCACGCCTTTCTCTCTGCTCCTTCAGGTTTCCCTGCTCCATGAGCTTGCATCTGCTCGACGTTGTCAGGGAACACTTATCCTCGCTGTTCGAACACTGTATAAATAGATATCTGAGCACCGACTCATGTGGCTAACCGAGATTTATAGAATGCCTACTCTGTGCCCAGGTACTGGCTCAGAATTTGAGATCCCGAGAGACACACAATATGGTCTTCTTATTAATAGCTTTTGCTGGGTTTTGCATTGCGTATGGTTTTAATCTATTCAATAAAGATGAGTAATGGAATAGATTCTTAAATATGATTTTATTTTTATTATGTGTCTGGGGAAACTTTTCATATGAATCAATTTAGAGAACATTAAGAAAATAAAAATTATTGCCAAATTATTGCATGTCTCAATTTTTGCTTGGAAAAATAGGATTATCATAGTTTATGCCTATAGTTTGTAACATTTACCCACAGACATTTTGTATGTCCCTCCACTCTTTTTCCTATCATTCCTGGGTATTCAAATAAAGTACTTACTTACTCAAAGTATTCCATTTATCAAAACATCTTTTCCACACTTTCTCAAATGTTTTATAAACTAAAGGTATGTATATGAGTCAATTAGAAGATAAATGCCATAAAAGGTAGGGGAACTGCTCTGCTTTCTGCTCTCTCCCAGGTGTCCAGTACAGTCCTAGAGGGCAGGGGCATCTCTGTAAATTATTGTTCCATGAATGTTCTATCCTGAGTTTCCCAAAGTCGATATGATGCAAGTTAAGAGTAAAGACACTTGCTTTTTAAACTGCCTCAATGGTGGCCAAGTATAGGTAAGCATGGGTTTCATACTAGGCGACGACTTGGAGGGTAAGGACACATCTAGGAATTTGCACTCAAGGACTGCTGGGGATTCTGCCTTAAGCATTTTGAGGCTTCCAGCCCCTTCAGAACCATTAGCCTCTGCAGAGGGTGAGATGAAGCCTGACTCTCAGCAGTTGTGGTTTTGGACTTTTAGGCGTAGTAAAGTCTAAAATAGTACTGATTTCATATTTCCAGGAGATAAAAGTTGTCCATGCTGTTCTCAGAAGAACAAATGGTCAACATCAGTCTCTGAGAACAACTAAGGTTAGAGAGCAATTGACACAATCAGAAGGCACAGGGAGGGGCGTTCATTCTCTTGGGGTTGTTTGATCATCCACAGGTCGTGTATTAAAATTACTCAGAACATCTGGAGTATACTCCTAGCTCTCTGTGATCTCGGACCAATTACTCTCCTCTCAGTTCCATTTCCCCAAGTGTAAATACCTCTCTGGCATGGTTGAATTAAATAACATTTTATTTCAAGTTCCTAGCCCCATATCTGGTACATTGCAGGAATGTAAAAAAAAACAATAATAATAACTTCTAGTAAATGAATGATTGTCCCTTAAAACTTATGTTCCAGTTACTGTTTAGGTGCCTTCAAGTAGGAATTTCACTACCTGGGAAGTTGCCCACTCATTCTTAAGTGCCTCTTACTCTACACACAGATGTGCAGAATATTGGAGCCAGAGAAAACCTTAAAACTAATCAGTCCCAATCTCCCAACTGACAGATTGACAGATGAGAAAATGATGCCTAGAAAGTCCAGAAATGGAAAAGCTGGCGGGGCGGGGGGGAAAGTCTCTTGACGCAGGGAGAAGATATATTTCTTTATGTTGTGTCTTTTTTCTAGCAAGCTGACACATTCCTATAACCCTACCCAGGGTTCCTCCTTCAGCGTCTGGGACTGCTACATGCTGACATAAGATTCCACCTCCAATGACTATTCAGTAAATAGGTAAAGAGAGGGACTCATCCCCAAAGCTAAGTCCTCTACCTCTTTAACACCCATGTCCTAGTCAAAGGTCCCTGAATTCCTCACCACACTGCTTGCTTTCCCATTAATTTACTGAGGAATGAGTTTAAGGACCTGGGAGAATGGTCAAAGTTTGTGTCTTTGCAACCCCAGGGGAATCCTATTTCTGTCTGATGCCACTCCATCAGAGACATGGTCTCTGACCCCTCCACCCTCCACCCCGCCAAACTTTGTCTCATTCTTTCCCCCGATGTCTCTTCCTAGTGGCTCTTACCACCATCTGAGATATGTATTCATTTGCTGACTGGCTGCCTTTGCCCAACAGAACAAAAGCTCAACTGTTCATGAAAGTTGGTTTTGTTCATTCTACGTGCCCAGTGTTGGGAACAGAGCCCGGAATAAAGCAGGCACTCAAAGGGGTAAAGCAACTGTCCCTCGCTTAGGCAGTGAACAAGCCAGGCTTTGAACCCAGGAAAATTTGACTTTGAAAACTGTGTTCTTGGCTGGATTTGGAGTAAAATAACTTATGCTGCCAGCCCTCTTTTGCCTAACCTTCAACCTCCAGTAGCCAGACTTACACAAAGGGAGAACACGAAGTAGCCCCATCACAAATGGAAGGACTGGAAGGACAGCGTCAAAGGGAGGGGAGCCCTTCCTTCTTGTTTAACCCCTTCCTGGGTGAGGACATCGCAGGAAGGAGGGCGGAGAGGGCTTCACCTTGGGTCAGGAAGATTAGCTTCAATGTGCCTCTTCAAAACAGTCCTCACAGTCCCTAGAACTTAGAATTACTGCCACATCAAGCAGCAACAATGCCCGGCACACAGCAGTGCTGGCTGAGTACTGCTCCCCTTCACCTCCTGGTTCCACTTAGTTATCAACCAACACCCTGGTAGAATAGGGCAGAGCATAAAGAAGGTGGACAGAGCAGGCATACATGTTCCAGGAGCATTTCTGTCTGGGGCTGCTGGCGGTCGCTTTACGTGACAAATGAAAGCAAGAAGGACTATCCACGTGATGCTGTCTTTGGGAAAATAAAACTCCAAATTTATTGAACACGTTTCTCCTATGAGACAAGACCCTGAGTCAAACTCTGAAAAATTGCCCTAAGTCCCAGCACGTCCGCCACCAGACAGCAAGTGCTGCCTCTGGGTCTCATCTCCCCAGGATGATTCACTGCTGCTCCGTGGAACTCATGGAGGTCCCGGGACAGCTCTGGCTGGAGAGTCCAAAGATGTGGAAGTAGGTGCCTTTACGGACTCTGCGCCTAGGATTAGCTGCCTGACCTAGGAAGTCACAGCTGGAAACCTGGAAATTAAGGTGTCAAACATTTTCCTGGGCACCCACTATGTAGAAGTTCTCTGATGTGCTATATAATATAGCCCATATGACAATCCAGGGTTGAAAGAATGACCTCTCTTATTTCACATCTGAGGAAACATAGGTCGGAGGGTCAGGTGACCACCCCCAAACCTCAAGGAACCTACAAGACCTAGAGAATTCAGTGATTTTTCAGATTCCAGTATTTGAGTTCCTTCTGTGAGAACACTCTGTAAGGGACGTGAGGAGAAAAGCACAGATGAAATAAATGGACTACACAATATACTACAGGTATGTAAAAAATGTTCTGAAAATAGGTAGGCAAGGCCACTTGCAACCAGACTCAGCTGTGAAGGAGAACTCTGACATGAGATTAATCCCCTTCTCGCCTCATAAGGATGCTGGAGCATTTAAGTGAGTATGCACATCTGCATCTGCAAGGTGTACAGGGAGAGCTCAGCAACTACGTTACCAGTATTATTAGTACTAATATTGATATTAGCAAGCAATCCCATGTGTTAAGCTTAAAATCTAGGAGTGAAACCAAGATAGATTAAATGCAGATCAAAAGAGAAAATTATTGCCCTAGCTGGTTTGGCTCAGTGGATAGAGTGTAGGCCTGAGGACTGTAGGGTCCTGGGTTCAATTCCAGTCAAGGGCACATGCTCGGGTTGTGGGCTCAATCCTTGGTAGGGGGTGTGCAGGAGGCGGCCAATCAGTGATTCTATCGCATCATTGATGTTTCTATCTCTCACTCCCTCTCCCTTTCTCTCTGAAATTAATTTAAACACACATACACACAACACACACACACACACACACACACACACACACACACACACGAGAATATTATTTAGCCTTACACTATGTCTTGTCAAACACTAGGCTTCTGAAGATCTGCATTTGAATTCTGGGCTAAATGAAGGTTAAATGAAGGTTCTGGACCAAATCCTTTAATGTCCACAAACCTTAGATTTCTTACTGGAAGAAGGCTCAATCTCACATGATCAAGAGATAATGTATACTGAGGTACTTTGGTGGCCCTAAAATTAAAAGATGATGATGACAGTGATTTGTTGGTAGACAGGCGATGGCTCACTCAGACTCACAGTGTGAACCCTGTCTCAAATCTCTGACATCCAAGAGAAAACTCTACAACAAGGAAAGGCACCAGCTTCAGAGAGCCTAGCAAAGAAAGACAGAATTATTTTCATTGCTCATATGGTCTACCGTGAAAAAGTGGGCCCTTTTGCAATGCTGAGGCATTTTGTACTTCTCTGTCTCTCTCTTTCCTGGGCAGGTGGCCAAAGGACGACTCGATCATTTATGTTTCTGTGTTTCCCAAAGAAAGACCATGGGGACTGAAATGTCAACATTCTTCTTGGCAACTTGCGAATAATGAAACATGATTGTCATGAATCAAAACCCCTCAAGTTCAGCAGATCTGAAAGGAGTATGTATAGTAGGACAAATTCTCAGGGCTTTGGGAGCCCCTCTGCTATGAAGGTTACAGATGGGACATTTTTAAAAAAAAACACACACACAAAAAAACAGAAAAAAACAGATGGGACACTTCATTGCAGATAACACACACACACACACACACACACACACACACAAGGTCAGCAGTCATCACCAGGTCTGATCCAGTTAATGTGGCCTACATTACGTGACCCTTCAGGGAGCATAAGTCGACTCCTGTCCCATGTCCACATTGGCCTTGGTGCTTCCATGAAGGTGACTGGCCAATGAGGCACTCTGTAATAGATACCTGCTATCTAACAGGATGCTGGAGATGGGGGAATGGGGGAGGGATGTATCAGATCCTTTCTCATCAGCAGATTGTGGCTCTGGTTGGGAACCAGGTCATGGGAGATCTTGATGTCTTTTAATCAACATTTTCCAGGAGCAAATCTCTATTTGCCTGGCCTCAAACTCAGTAAGGAGGGACTTTGGCAAGAATCAAGATCCTGGCCTTTCTCCCCACCTTGCATTAGGGTCTCTGTGGGAAGCAGGTGTGGCTCTACCTGATTGAGAAGTTTGGAGAGAAGCTGAGCCCTCATGGCTCAGTCTCTCCTGGGTTCTCTCTGCAAGCTGCCTGCTGGTAGTGAGGTTGCATTCTGGTCTGATCTCATATGTGAGTCCAGGTCCTGCTCTGGAGCAGGAAAGGGGATGAGGAGAATAGGGAGGGTTGCGGTTGTCCAATTCCCCATAAATCAAGTGAGATAGCCTGTCTCTTTCAAGGATACCCACTATGCCCGTGTATCTACATCATGTTTTCCAGAGCAGCACTTATCAGTTATAAAGCTGGAATTTAGAATTCATCCTTTCCGATTCCTTTGTCTATTTGTCAATCAGATTTGAACTTGGCAGAAAAAGAGGGCTCATTGTTGGACTTCCCTCAAAGCTCAGAACATCGTTTAATTGTCAAAAAGGATACATTAACCTCTTCCAAGGTGATAACCTGTGAAATCACAATTTGGATGTCTTTTATGTCTATTTTTATTACACCTTACAATAAATAGACACATAATTGTTCACATAAAGTTTGCTTATGTGACAGCAAAAAAGAAAAAGAAAGTAATGGATACATAGTTTAGGAAATTAAAAGGTTTTAAAAATGATGATTCCTATAGTCATGCTTTAGGGAGACTTAGCATCGGATATACATGTTAAACTGCTGAGAAAATCTTATAGTATAAAAAAATAACAGCTGTGATTTACTAAGCAAATATTAAAGAAAAGTGTTTTGAAAATACTGTCCCATTTAATACTTTTAGGCATTGGCCAGCTTTTTTAAAAAAATTCTTTTTTTCTTACATTTAAAAAAATTATACTAACCAAGCTATATCCTCAGTGACAATTTGAAGATAATTTTAAAAGTGCTCATAACATATTATTATCAGATGACAAAAAAGCAGAATATACAATTGTATAAATAGTTATTCTAATTATATTAAACATTGTGTATATTTCATATAATGTATATAAAAATACAAAGAGATTATAAATCACACACTTTTAAAATGCTGACACTAATCTTCTTTGTGTGGTGGGATTGAGGATGATTTCAATTTTCCTCCTTATACTTTTCTGTATTTTGAAAATATTTTATAACATTTTGTGAATTCTATAATCAGTAAAATCATATGTTTTAAATGCATAAGGTATTTTACAGAGTTGTTGCTAAACCATTTTATTTTTATGTATTTATTATTATTATTAAATCCTCACTGGAGGATATTTTTCCATTGATTTTTAGAGAGAGTGGAAGAGAGGGGGAAAGACAGAGAAACATCGATGTGAGAGAAACACATCCATTGATTGCCTCCTGCAAGATCCCAGGCCATGGCCCGTCTGGGGAGGACCTCACAACCCAGGTATGTACATTTGACCTGAATCGAACCTGGGACCTTTTGGTCTGTAGGCCGACACTCTATCCACTGAGCCAAACCATTTACTTATTTATTTTTTAAAATATGGAACGCTTCACGAATTTGCATGTCATACTTGCGCAGGGGCCATGCTTATCTTCTCTGTATCGTTCCAATTTTAGTATATGTGCTGCCAAAGCGAGCACCAAACCATTTAATTTTAAAACTATTTTTATATTACTACAACCCCCCCCCCCAAAAAAAAATAACTTGGAGACCGCAATCTAGGAACAAAAAATTTTCTTTTTGTATGTTTTTAAGAGACCTTTAAATATGACAATTTTTTAATTTTGCTTATTAAATTTTTTCCAGTGTCTTTGCATTTCAATGAAAAAGATTCTTTAAAGCATTTAAAATAAGAAACCTCTTTATATCTCCATATTCCAATATCTGGTTACACATTACTTAAAAAATATTTCCCCTTATTATTAAGTATTTGAGGGTGTTGATATTAGTTACAAAAATGAATAAAATCATCTTTTATCTTAACACTAGAGGCCTGATGCATGAAATTCGTGCAAGAGTAGGCCTTCCTTCCCCACATTGCCGGCACCAGCTTCCTTCTGGCACCCGGGACCCGGGCTTCCCTCACAGCCCCGACTTCATCCGGAAGGTCATCTGGAATGATGCCTGGTCTACTTAGCATATTACCCTTTTATTATTATGGATAACATCTTTTACCTTATTTATCATATATATAATGATCTCACTCATTCATGGATAATTGAGACCATCATAAACTTTTGACCAATAATAGATACAGAGGCAGAGCTGCCTCAAACAGAGTGTCAAACTGCAGCGGGAAGGCCGGGGAGGGTTCGGGAGCGGGAGGGAGGGGGGTAAGAGGTCAACCAA